CAGTCAATATGATTCTTGTGTATTTTATCTCATTATGTCCACATGTATAATTACCTTTTATGTTTTTAAAAAGCTTTGATTGTGAATTGAGTGATAGTTTACATGGCAGAACTTTGATTTTGCACTCAGAAGCTCTTCAACTACCTCCTCTGTTTTTGTTGTTGTTAAGTGCCGTCGAGTCAGTTTCGACCCATAGTGACCCTGAATAGGGTTTCCGAGGCTGTACATCTTTACTGGAGCAGATCGCCTCATCTTTCTTCCACGGAGCAGCTGGTAGTTTCGAACTGCTGACTTTCTGGTTCGCAGCCTGATTCGTAACCACTATGCTACCAGAGCTCCTTACCTAGTTTTCTTTAATTCTTCCTGTTCTGGAACTCCAATCACCCATAGGTTATTCCTCCTTCCTGGATTCTGCTCCAAACCCACTCATGGTAAGCCTTCAATCCTCCTAATTATCCCTTTATATGAAATTGGGGGTTCTAGGATCACCCTTTGAACCTGTTTCATCTGGTATTCCATGTTATTACTGGTGGAGGTCTGCACAGACTTTCTTCCTAATCTGCAATCAAACCCTGCCTCCCTTTTATGTTGTTTTAAAAAGGTTTTTGCAATGAAAGAAGTCATTGTCCTTGAAAAATTCCATCATGTGATCTGCAGCATCACATCTATCACCAAGAGTATATTTTCTAATTACTAACCCTTCCTCTTTGCTTCTAACATTCACAGTCCATTCACCAGTAATTATCAATACACATTGAATGCATGTCTCATCAATTTCAGACTGAAAATATCGATTGCTGGTGTTGTTGTTGTTAAGTGACGTTAAGTTGGTTCCAACTCATAGTAACTTTATATAGGGTTTCTGAGGAGCAGCCGGTGAGTTTGAACAAGTTTGTTCTAACAAAACTTATAACCCAGTGCTTTATCCATAATGCCACTTTAGTGATTGGTGCTCAAACTTGAGTAATAATGGTATTAACTAATCTTCCTTGTAGGCAAGTACATATTATCTTATCACAGAGTTGTACTTCAAGACAGAGCTTGAATTTTTTTTTTTTTTCAATGATGACTGGTAGGCCATTCCTCTTAAATGTGTCATTCTCAACCTAATAAGCAGTATGATTGTCAGATTCAAAAGGGCCAATACCTGCCCATTTCACCTCTCTAGTGCCTAGGATATCAATCTTTATGCATTCCATTTCACTTTTGACAACTTTTAATTTTTCTAGATTCATACTTCATACATTCCATTTTCTGATTAGTAATGGATGTTTGCAGCTGTTTCTGTTCATTTTGATTTGTGCCCCATCAGCAAATGAAGGTCCTGAAAGCTTTACTCCACTCAGATATTTATTGGATCTATTTAGAAGAGAAAGCTCTTCCCCAGTTGTATTTTGAGTGCCTTCCAACCTGAATGGATCATTTACTGGCATTATACCTGGCAATATTCTGATGTTATTCATAATGTTTTCTTCTTCTTTCACTATATCTGACAATTATCTGCTGCTATTCATAAGGCTTTCAGTGACTAAACATTCAGAATTAGTCTGCCATTCCTTCTTCCTAGTCTGTCTTAGTCTGGAAGCTCTGTCGAAACCTATCTACCATGGGTGACCCTGCTGGTCTTTAAAATACCAGTGGCATAGTTTCCAACATCTTAGCAACACTTAAGTTAACATAGTACAACAACCTGACAAACCAGTGATGGGCAGCACTCCTATAGGTAGCAGTTGTTATACAATTTGAAATTATCCTTTAAAAAGTTATCTTGGGGAGAGAACAAACAAGATGGTGGATCGGGTGGAAGTGCAGTAAGGAGATCCATCAGCAACAACACAGAATACAGGACCAAGCAGGCTCAGGGAATGGTCCCAGAACTCTGAACCACATATAAAGGCTATTTAGAAGGTTAGAAGGTTTACAGCTAAGGGAATTTGTAGCAGAAGAAAGAAATCCATTGCTTTCTAATTCAAGATGCTCAGCTGCTCCAGGAGCTGCCATCTTGGGTGAGACCAAGTGGGGGAAGGATCAGAGCAGCCACAGACGCCTGACAGAACCATGGAGATAAAGATGTGGACATTCTTTTCTTTTGATATCTGTTCATTGGTCCCTGGCTGTCTGTGTACCTCCATTCTGGTGACTATAGGGGTGCCTGAGCTAGTGGACACCCCAGCCCCACCTTCTGAGGGTTCTACTACACATGCACACAGATCTCCTCAAAATTTAAAGAGACAGTTTCCACTTAAACCAAATGGCCACAGCTGGCCCTGAACTGTTTAAAACTAGAAAAAAAGGCCTGAACAGTGATTGTGGAGCAGGACAGGCAAACAAAAAAGGAAATATGCCAAAATTTAAATCCCAAGTTACATCAAAACAGCCAACAGTGGCATCTTGAAATTTCTCATGAAAAAGAATGAAAAGGGAAGCTCATTTCCGGATCACATCTACCTAGAGGCAATCAGAAAGCATTAAAAATACCAAAATGCACACCCATCTAAGTATTAAAGCCATAGATAATCCCTGAATATGCCCCCAAAACAGAAGCAGATGACCATATCTGCACATGTCCAGAAACGAGATAAAGTGACTGAGGCAAATGAGCTGGAAGTAGACCT